CCAGGGAGGCACGATGTCACTGCTAAACTCTGCCCAGTCCTTTGCTGCTGAGACCAGTGTATGAGAAGTGATCCAGAGAAAACTTTTGGGGCATGAAAGATTGAGGCTTGTTGAGGTGTGAGAAGAAGAGAGCTGGAGCCATCCATCCATCTGGGATTTGTCATCTTTCAAAGGCTGATTTAGACCTCTTGAGTTGTGAGGTTTAAGGATTTGATAAGTGGCATTAAAATCACTTGGTGGTTGGTGCACATCTGCGGCATGACATTTTTCTACACTTTTGGTGGATCCTAATATTTTGTTTATAGGAGTTTATTTTATGATTTGTTAAACATTATACATTGAATTTGTAGTTATCCTGATAGCATGACATTATTTTTTCAGTTGTCTTCGATATTTGTGTGAATTTCAGCGAGTCATGATTTTTTACATTTTCAACTTCATTTAATTTGAATAATTTGCCAAAAGTGGGTTAAGCACAATGTTGGATCACAGATATTATTTTTTTGTCATTTTTGGGGAGATTTCCCTTTTCACTTTCTGTCCCGTAGCCAAAAAAAGGAAGTGAGAGGAAATTTCTCCAAAGTGAGGGAATCCCTAGTTGTCACCATGACTAGTGTGCCCATTGGAACATTTCCTCGATGTTTATATTCTGGTGACCACTCAAAATTTTGTGATTTTTCTTTCACTTTTACTTTTCAGTGATAAAGGTAAAGAGGGCAAATAGAGAATGAATTTCTCTAAAGAGGACAAAAATACTTAAAACTATAAAAAGTTCTGTCTTTAGCCACACTTTAATACAAGCACCATTCTCCGCTTTTCCATGTCTCATAACCAAGGTCAGTGCTAGAAGTTTTTTACTTAATTTTTTTTTTTGTTTCTTTTGCTTTGTTGGTTTTGTGAGATTTGTAAACCGTAATCCCTGATTGATCACTCACAAAAAATTAAAAGGAAAAGCAAAATTATTATTATACAGGATTTATATAGCGCCAACAGTTTGCTCAGCACTTTACAATATAATGGGAAACAATATAGCAACAATACAGTTCAATACAAGAGGATTAGGAGGGCCTTGCTCCTTGGAGCTTACAATCTAAGAGGGAGGGGCTAGTGGTACAAAAGGTAGTAACTGTGGAGAATGGACTGGTAGGAGGAGTAGAAGATTCCATTATTAGCTGAGGGCAGCATAAGCTTCCCTGAAGAGAGAGGTTTTCAGAGATCGCCTAAAAGTGAGCAGAGTAGGCGATAGTCTGAAAATTGGGGTAGAGAGTTCCAGAGGATTGGGGGAAGCTCTGGAGAAGTCCTGGAGATGAGCATGGGAGGAGGAGATAAAAAAGCAAGTATAAAAATATGACCTAGCTACACCAGCACTGTATTTGTCTAACGCTGACCATAATTTGTGTCAAGCTAGCCTGGCACCACGTTTGGTGATTTTATAAACAAAAAATGTCATACATAGTAGCTGTAGACACTTTTAGGTCTGCTTTTTCCATGTAATTATAGTGTATGGCACTTTTTTGCCCACTCATGCAGGCTCATGGTATATGAAGCTGTAGGGAATTACATGTTGTTTCACAGTTTCTGCTTTTCTGGTGATGAAATGACTATTGTTTAATTTTATGTCAACCCATTTTTTGAAAATCACTGCTGAAATCTTTGGTACACCATAGACATTCCAGGCATTGACAGATCATAGCAAGTTTAGATATTTAATGCCCTGTGGTTTGCAGTTGGTTACTTGTTGATCATAATTGTCCCTGCTTAAACTGCAAAAACTTCATGGAACTCGAACGGGAGTAGCAATGTTTTTTTTTCTCAAACAAAGCTAATGTGAGTACTCAACAGTTCTAGTACAAATTGAGTATATCAGAGCCTAATCCAAAGTACTAATGTTTTTATTATGAGTTTTCTTATAAGATTCACTACATTTTTGTTGTTGATCTGACAGCTTTTCTTGATGTAAGCCTAAACTAGCAAAGGTGTTTTTCTCATGGAGTCTTACAGCTTAAATTTACAATATCCAATTGTTTTGGCAGCAGTCACTAGGCTATCACAGGTTACATTTATTCATCCACATTTGATTCAGTGTTTTGTTCTTTGTGCCTTGCAAATGATTTTATAATTGCAGTTTATGAAAAACCTGTTGACCTTTTGTGATTACATAGTGGTGGCTAACATTAAATCTAATGTTCTGAGACCACAGTAATAACTTCTGAATGGTCCTAATAGTGACCCTAAACATAAAAACCCTCCTTTTAACAAAGCAAATCCATAGCCGTGTATACTTGCCACCTGTTCCAGTAATTCTCCTATTCCAAATCACAAGACCAGAACAAATTGCCCTGCTAGGTTTGACCCTTTACATCAACCAAAGCTTAAAACTCAACAAAGGTGTGCAAACCATTTTAAAATGATGTTGTCTATTTGAAAAAATAGGTGTAATAATACTAGGTTTGGAAACGTGTAATTTTTAGAACACACTTGTGACTGTATGGTATAACACATTGGCAGATGACATGAGTGATTACAGCACGTTTCAGACATGTATAATAGTTAGTGTTTGTGAAACTTTGATGGCCACTTCTACCCTGGCTGTTAGTATTCATAGCTGCATTTGTTAATTTTTGTACCCATTTTGCATCATATATTTAGCAAATGGTGTACATATATTATTACTATAATTGCTTATCTCCCCGGCATTATAATTTTATGATCACAAACCTTGCCTTTTATTCTCTTGTACTTTATTTTTTCTCTTGCCTTTATTGCTCTATATGAACACCAAATAGCCATGAAAAAATTGCCAGATCTCAATATTTATTTTCCCTTTTCCTTCTATCCTACAGCTTCCTACATATTTGAAGCATGCACTATTAATCCTGAGTTTTTATCATGGCCACCACATAATCATTAGACTCGGTAATATAGCCAGGAATTAATAAACCCGCTGTTTGAATGCTTGAATAACGGGAAGTCGCATCAGTTGCTAGGCAGCAAGATTTGAGTACAGCGACAACTGAGGTGTCAGCTGGCATGTGCACTTTGTGTGGGCATTAATGATGTGTTTTTTTTTTTTTTTTTTTTTTGCTGTATGGTTTCTTTTCTAAAAATAAATGAGCACTTTTTTTTTTTTTTAAATAAAGTAGATTTTGTTCTGTGTTTATAGGTTTATGACTGTGTTCTAATACAATGACAAAATGTTGGCTAAAAAGTTACAGAAGAAAGAATACAATGACAAAATGTTGGCTAAAAAGTTACAGAAGAAAGTACTATTTGCTGTGTCATTGTACAGTAGATAGAAATTACCGTGTTGTACATGTCTTTATTGTCATGCATGTATAACCTACTACGTCAGTATATAACCTAAAGCAAACCTATTACAGAAGTTTAGGTTGCAAGACACTGTCACCTTGCTCATTTAGAGTTTTTAGCAGTTGGTTTTGTAGCCTAGGACTACACAAGCAATTAGAGTGGATGAAAAAGGCTGAATGGAAAAAAAAAAATATGACCGGTTCTTCAATTCATTCTATACAGCATGGATGTATGAATCTGCATGTATTGAACTCTGCCAGCCAGCTCCAGGAGCTGTCGGAATACCTGAACAGTGGCTGCATCTGATTCAATGCAGACCACTGTTTAGCCAGCAATTATCCGCCTAGCCCCTTCCATTTTTTATTCAAAAGATGGGGCAGAAGAATGCCGATGGGGCAGTCGCAAAGTGAATTTCGTCTGGTTCATCCAGAGCTGGACAAAATTTTCTTTGTATGGCCAGCTTTAGATACGAAGAAATGTAACTGCTTGTTGACAGTCCTCTCAATACAAGCACTCTGAAATCAATGTGGTGTTAACAAAATAACTTGTCAACTATCATCATAGAAGTTTGGGAGCCTCTGAATTCTTTGGTTGGAAATTATATTTACCTGAAGCCTGCTAGTGACTCTATAAATGAAATGAAGTTTTAATTGCCCAAGCTAAACATTTGAAAGGGACTGGCAGATTTACATGCTAATATACATGAAAACCGCGTGAATGCCAAATTTGTGGCTGCTGAAACCCCTAAATAGGTTTTCTTCCCGAAAAGCCAATATAACATAATGCCATATAAATATGTAGTATGTGTGTGTGTACATGCTGCACATCTTTGATATATGGCTATCTTCCAGGGTGAGTGTGGACACGCTGCGGGTGAAAATCATGCGGAAGCTGGATTTACAGCAGGCTTTAGGGCTGCAAAGGCTGAGTCCAGGTCAGGCTGTAGCATGGAAAGAGGCTGGATGAGCTCCGCAGGATGCGGTGGAATGCAGGTGGACCACAGCATTCCATGTGACTGGAAGTCAGCCCCAAAGCCTGCTCTAGATCCAGCTTCCGCATGATTTGCATCCGCAGTGTGTCCACACCCACCCTGGAAGATAGCCATATATCAAAGATGTCCCTGTGTATGTCTCCTAAAATGTGAGTGCATTTTCAACCAATTTTTAATAAAGTGTTTTACAGTCTACACTCAGTGGTGCCTTCTCCACCTGTCTTTTTACATGTTTATCTGGAGATCTGCTTCTACTCCGCTTTGTAAGGCCAGCCTTGAAGTGTGCACTGCTCTGGAACCACTGAGAATCCTCTGTCCGACTCAGCAGTGGGTTTCTTTCCCAGCTTTCCCCTCCATCCCTTCTTCTTTTTCTACCAAAGTGGGACTATGGACTAGCCAGAGGACATTTTTTGCTCCAACACCATTCCATGTATGGAGTAATGGTAGCATCTTATCTTTCAATATAGAACAGTACATCTGTGAATTCATGATACCATCAATGAAATGCACCTCCCAGCAGCACTCATGCAGCCCCACAGAAGGTCACTGCTACCACCATGTTTCACTGTAGGCACCATGCATTTTTCTTTGTACACCTCACCTTTGTGACGCCATACAATTTTGAAGCCATCAGTTCCAAAAACATTTATCTTGGTCTCATCACTCCAGAGTACAGAGTCCCAGTAGTAGTTTTCTTTTTCAGTATGGGCCCTGCAAATTCTATGTGGGCTTTTTTGTGCATGCGCTTTAGGAGAGGCCTCCTTCGTGGACTGCACCCATGCATGTTATTACTCTGCAGTGTATGCTGTATTGTGTTACAGGAAACAATCACCCCAGTTTGGCTTTCCACTTCTTTAGCTAACTGCAGTGAACTTGCATGGTGATTTTCTTCAACACTTCTCATCAGAAGATGTTTCTGTCAAGGTGTTAACTTCCATCGACAGCCTGGTCGTCTCTGTGAGATGGTTTCAGTTCCATCTTAGTTACATTTTTGTATCACTTTTGCTACAGTATTCTGACTGATAATTAAATCTTTGCTGATCTTCTTGTAGCCTTCACCTTTAACCTCCTTGGCGGTATGATTCCTTCTGATTTTTTTGTGCTGAAAGCGGTACCATTTTTTCGCATGGAAATAGTTTTTTTTATTGTAGGCTGTAATTTTTAGGAAAATTTCCCCACAAATCATGATCACTATCAATCATTCTGTAAGTGGTTCTGATTTACTATCGCTGTTCTCTAGCCGGTCTAAAACCGCTTTTGCCGTAAAGGGACGCTTTTTGGACGCCATGGACTTTTCTAAGTTTCCAGGCAGAAAGAACAGACAAAATGCAGGCAGGGCACAGGACAAAGCACTAGGGACAATATGTATGTGAAATGGGATGAAACAGCAATGTTTTACTATTTAAAATTGAAAAAAAAAAAAATGACATTTTTTAAATTTCCCGCCGCCGGCACGTCCCGACGTCACGGGGACCGGAACACAGAAGCCGGATGCCGGCATCGGCCGGAGGAGATGGCCAGGGACGCTGCAGGGGACACATCGTGGGAACGAAGGACAAGGTAAGTGCTGCAGGGACCCCCAGAGTAGCGCCGCATGGTAAGCCCGAGTGTAGCTCGGGGTTACCGCTTGTGGTATAGAAATTTTACCCCGAGCTACACTCTGGAAAACCGCCAGGGAGGTTAAAGAAATTATTTTCTTTCTCTTGCCTTGTGACATTTCTCTTCCATGTGGTGAAATGGGAAGGGGTTTTCTTTAAGTAACGCCCTTTTATAATCAACTGTCTGCTGGACACCTGTTTAATGAAGGTTAGACTCAACTGTAGTTGAATTCTTGTATATTAGGATTTTGTTGTTTAAATTAACAAATCTTGTTTGAAATCAATGGCCTGCATTTGTGGGAGTATTTTGTAGTATAGTGTCCCATAGAAAATGTTGATTCTGAAAGGAAAGTCAAGGTTCTCTGATAAATTTGTTGGGGTGTACTCATTTATGCAAAGCAGTGTGTGTGTGTGTGTGTGTGTGTGTGTGTGTGTATATATATATATATATATATATATATATATATATATATATATATATATATATATATATATACACAGCACTGGGGTTGTTGGTTTGAATCCCAACCATAGCACCACCTGCCTGGAGTTTGCATGTTTTCCCTGTGCCTGCGTGGTTTCCTCCCACACTCCGAAGACATGCTGGTAGGTTAATTAGCTCCTGTCTAAATTGGCCCTAATATGTGTATGTATGAATGTAAGTTAGGGACTTTAGATTGTACACCCCTTGAGGGTTAGGGATTGATGTGAATGTACAATATATGTAAAGCGCTGCATAAATTGACGGTGCTATAGAAGTACCTGTAATAAATAAATATATTTATTGTAGAAGGCACCAAGGATACTTCATGGAGGGGCATTATTTTTGTTCCTTTTGAGAGGTTCTCAGCCCTAGCCGAGAGATTTCAGGGAAATGCCAACAAGAGGGAAATTGGTTAGCAGTTTCCCCTGCATTTCTTTAGTTTGTTATGGGTCCCTGGAGTCTGGAGACTTTAAGAATTAATGGCACGGATGAGTCTCCAACCTCTCACAATGGGAGCCAAAGCGTTAATGGCCTCATCTGGGAGGAGAGGCGTGTTAAGGGTGTAGGCCTCACCTAGCAAGGGGACTGTGTGACTGTGTATGTAAAGACACCTGGCAGAAATCCGGTATCTACTCCTAAACTGCTGAGCCATTTTGCTGGAGTTGCTATGCGCTGTGTTTGACTCTCAGAGAAAGGCGAGGACACAGCCCTGGAGTGACCTATTCTGTGGATGGTGGTAAGCCCCAAAGATTATTTTGAGTTAAGGGCTGTTTATAATATATTATGTATATATTAAAGGCCATGAAACTAGACATAGAAAAATCTTGATGCTTCGTATAAAAGTGTAATATCACGATGGAGAGTTTCTGAGTGGAAACAAGTACTGTATGTACAAAGATAGTAGCAGAAAGGTAGAAAAGATAAAGTAGCTCACTTGTATGAGGACACCTAAAAACAAGGTTGGAGATTAAAAAGATTGACAACAATTCAGGGAGAACCCCTTTCCCAAGTCAGATCCACTAACTAAGCAATTGGTTTAACAGTAGACTGTTTGGTGTGCTGCCTTTCATTAATACATGGGACTTCACAAATAATGTGCTCTGAACACAGACGCTTGTATGATATCCATGAGATACTGATTCAGCCCTGTGATGTGGATTAAGTGGTTTTTGCTCAGGTTCATTTATTAGCCCACCACAAAGTAAATTTATAATAAGAAAAAAATAGAGGGGCTTCCATTGTTAACCACTTTCTAAATGCAAGTTGCTTTTCTATTAAAAGAGAAGTATGTTTTTTTTTTTTTTTTATATCATACTTACCTAGGTGAATGCAGCATTGGTCTCCCACTGGTTCTAATGGTGAGAACTCTGTGATCACATGATCGCTGAGTTCTCATGACCACTCTGAGCAGAGTGTGGTGACTGTCAGTCACCTCTGTCTGCTCTGCCCCTTCCCTTGCTCACTGGAGGGCTGGACTATAGAGGGTAAGCTGGCTCAGGCTCTCAGTGGCTCGTTGAGAGGCAGAGCCAGATGCCGCTCCAGACTCTGGGGTGGATACTTACTTTAAATTCGGGATCTTTCCCCAGCCTGGACCAGCTGAGTGGCGCCAGCCAATGGTGGGCCTCAACCCGCTGTCAGCTGAAAACTGGTCACAGGAGTGTAGAACAAACTGTACTCTGTGATCCACAAAAGAGCTTTGGCTGTAATTCTCCTTTAGGCTGGCCATAGACCATTTTTATTTTCTTTCAGCCAGTGGACTGAATCTTATGTTGGGACATTGTATACACCGATTAGCGGCTGCATCTGCTGATTGACAAAAGTTTTCCGGCATGTTCCTATGACAGAAGTCAATCAATCGACTTCTCTCAAGGAAGAATGGCCACATGCTGATCGACATTTGTCCGGTCCCTGCTGAACCAGCCACATTTTGGTTAGTGTATTGCCAGCTTTACTCTGACAACTTGGTTCAGCACTTCTCATATGGAGCAAGTGTGTAGGCCTGGAAAATCGGAAAAAAAAACAGGCTGTATCTGCATATTTGTTCTAGTTCACTGACTCTGGAAATACTGAAGCCATTTTTTTAAATGTATATATTTTATTTATAAATGTTTATTGTTATAATCATTATTATGTTAATTTCTCAAGCGATGTAATTTGTTGTTGTGGATACCTAGTTATAGGAGGCCTGAATGTCATTTTTGTATCCATTTAAAAACAAATATTATATCTAATTTGGCTGGCAGAACATCTGCATGTTTAATTTAGGTAGATGAAAGAAGCTAATTAATAGTAATGTATGTAATACTGCAAATTAAGCCCTAATCCTTTCTTGGGAAGCTTTTGTGTGTTGGGTTCTGTAGTATAAAATAATCCATCTTTGGTTTTTTAGTGTGTTTGAGCTGTAACCATGGCCTGCAACTTTGTGATTTGGTTAACCATTATGTTCCTCTTTTCTGTGTGTTTAATAAAATCCAATAGTGAAAATGTGTCACATTCCAAGTTTGTTCCCCTTTTATATCAAGGTTGAATTGTCTATGAGATTTGTTATGCAAAGTGAGTACAATGTATTACTTTTAGTTTACCACGGTAACCAACAGTACAGTAGTAGTAAGACTGAATGTATATATACAATAGCCTGGGTTGGCAGCCTGTGACAGTTATGTTTGATGGTTTTGTAGCCTCTCTTTCCATTGTATGTGGCAGTTATTTCCACTTTATTACAATTTCTTTTGTTTCTAGCCATCATCATTCTCATACACTTTAATGGCTAAGTGCAGTCCATTTAATGTACTATCCTACCACCTTTTAAATGTATAAAGCCTTTGTTATCTTGAGAGTAAAGACTACATTTTCTATCCCTAAAAGCCCTTTTGTATTTACATTTAAATCCGATTTAATACCTAACTAAATGGCATTTAGGACGGCCATACATTTGTACAATTTTCCTTTAGATTTGACCTCATATTACACGGTTTTCGTAAATCTAAACACTTTCAATTTGTTTACGAAAACCGTATAATATGAGGTCAAATCTAAACACTTTCAATTTGTTTGCAATCAGGCAGGCTCTTGCACTACATAATTGAAGGTAAATCTAAAGGAAATTGAATAAGAAAATTGTATAATGTATGGCTAACTGAAGTTTGCAAGTGCATGGTGTAAAAAATTGCCAGTAAATCAACATTTTATTCAATCCATTCGATCAATAATTTTTATTCTAGAAATGCATTGGCTTTATTTTTGTTTTAATAATTCCCTAACCCAGCAATGCCTTTTTTATTTTACTGAGGTTTTATAGCTTGAGTACTTAAATGTAGCTTGATCAAGTTTGAAATTACTGCTGTGTTTAAATCTAAAATTGGAACATTTGTGATATTTTTTTTTTCACAATGTGTACGCCTTCTTCTCTTTCAATTAAAACGCAATTAACTTAAAAAAGCTTCCATAGAATAAATCTGCAGGACCTAATAATACTTTTTTTTTTTTCACGTGGAACACCTCTTAATATAATTGCTACCAGCATCTAAGAAATCAGTGTGTATTAAGAACACCTTTGTTGCTAAAAGAGCAAAAATGTACATGCATTAAAAAAATCTGAAAGCTTTTCTTTCTGCACACTACATGCACATAGTTTAGAGTCTTTTTTTTTTTTTTTTTGTCTTAAAGTTTTGACTACAGTTTATATATATTTTTTTTTTTAGTTTTGGATGGAGTGGAGAGGGCTTCGAACCCTTGTCACGTTTTTATTTTTGTCTGTGTCCGTTAGGGAAATTCATCCTTTCTATTTGTCCTGTTTACCATTATCATCAAAGTGAAAGTAGAGAAAATCCAAAATTTGGGGTTTTCCCCAGAAAAAGAATACAAAGGAAATCTTCCAATGGGGACACTGGTTCTGTTGACCTAGAGGTTTCCCTAAATTTGCAGGGATTTACTCATTTCCTGTTTGGCTATGGATCAGGAAGTGAAGGGAAATCTCTGCAATGGGACACAGATGGCTAAAAAAAAAATCTGACTGGTTATAACCCTCCCTCACAGCAATGCAGATGTCTTAATAAGGCTTTCAATCAGTGCTTTCTGCCTGTTTATATTTTCCCTAAAGAAGATCTAGCATTATATTTTCTCTGTGGAACAAAGTACATGTAGTACTTTGTTGCATATTGTCAGGTGCCTACTAACCTTAGCTATAAGATATGAACTGCACATCACCCCTTAATCCGCAATTGATCCAACAACAGCTAGAAAGGAGAAGGCTGCTTCCAACATCATACAGTACTTTATATATTTACCTGCCATGCACACAAATCATAAAGCACCATTAGGTCATCAAGAATGCTTTTCAGAATCAACTGCCACACTTTGGATTCCTTCTTAGATTATGCCTATTATTTACAAGTCTGTGAATGTAATCTAAGTTTAATACAGTAGTACTCAAAAGTTTGCATCCCCTTGGAGAATAGGTAATGTACAGTATGTACCATTTGTAAAGAAAACATGAGTGAGCAGACAAAACACATTTAATTTATTTCATAAGGCATTCATATTCAGCTGTAGGTCATAACAGAATGGCACAATCCTAAAACAAAACAAGTAAACAAATGGAAATGACCCCTGTTCAAAAAATTGGCATACCCTTTCTTCCTAATACTGTGTATTGCCCC